GGGTTTGGAGAGCCGGCGCTTAGAGAGTGAAAGGGCCTGAGGGGCGGTTATGACGGGCAGTGCACGGTACCAGGGCAGGCTCTTACATGTGAAGAAAAAGCCCGACGAAACCTGGCTCGTTGGGAAGCGAAGGGTAGAAAGTTACTGACTCGATTGGAGTCGGCGTACTGTTCCCTGACCAAAAAAGACAGCAAGGTTTATTTAGTTACTTAATGAACTTGTATGAATATAAGTTTTTTTTCGGAGGGTGACAATTCTGAAGTCGGTGCTAAAGAGCGGGCGGGCGGGATAGGCGCGCAGTATGTGTCGCTCTCTCGGTAGTTCCGGCAGCTTGATCGTCGTCTCAGGACCAGAGGCATGCCGTTATTTCGGCGAGGACCAGAGGAGGTGGCGGTTGCCATGGCGACAGGTTAAAGGATTGGATTATTGCTTGGTCTCCTCCTCTCAGATGCTTAGCGAGTCTAAGCAGCATCAAGCCTTAATCTGCCAGTTATCCCCAGTCCGGACAGACGCTGCAGGCCTCGCATATTGCGTTGCTTTGGGCTGTATGACTGAATCCCAGAATTGGTTCGGTCTCCAGGAAAGCTTTATCGTTTGCCTTAACGTACCTGGCAAGCATGCACTGGAAAAATGTCGTTATACTGCCGGAATCATTACCATAAATGTGTTGCTTGATGCCCAAGAGCAATGGGTAGTGTTGATAAAAAGGAGTGGTGATAATTACAATACTGGTGATCTCATGACTTCTCCCTGGGCTCTTATTCTTTAAGAATGAAAGAACAGACACTTTTTTATCTAGTCAGGCAAGTCCTTCAATTTTATTTTGCTTTTATTTTCCTTCTTAATAGAAGACTTAGGTTGCAGTCCTCCCATACTAACACAAAAGTCAGTTTTATAGTAAATATGCTGCTACATGCTAGAATATCTTTCAATTAATTGTCAATTAATTAATCACTATGGGTAATTAATTATGTCTCTCACCTTTTGTTTTACCATATTCACCCTGCAAACAAATACTGTGTGCATGTGTGTATATGTGTGTGTGCACGCGCATGTATATAAAACATGCATTTCTCAAGAGTATACTGTACTCAGTGCATCTGATTAAGTGGACTACACATGGAAGTCAATGTGATAAAACCTTAATTAGTATTTAAGGTGCTAGAAGACTCTTTGATGTTTAGGACTGATCAAAGTACTTGTGTATAAAGTGAGGAAAATAGAAGACTGCAGAAAAAGTGGATAGTGAGAATCAAAAAAATTATTAGAATGTTATTGGAAGAGCTATAAGGTATAACTAAGGGAAAATCAAGAATATTTGTCCATATAGTCAACAAGACTAGAACTTGACTTGATCCCATCTATCTAATCTGTGTACAGTTAGACCTCATTTAGTGACTGCCTCATTTAGCAACCGTTTGCAGTTATGACGGTGATAAAAAACTAACTTTATGATCAATCCTTGCATTTATGATCTTTGCAGGTCTGTAAACCAAAGGAAAGCTGAAGTAAGACCATAAGCACAGTTGCAGTTTCATTTAAGGACTGAGTTGCCGGTCCCAATTGTGGTTGCTACACAAGAATTAACCGTATATATAGGTTGTCAAGTTAGTTAGCTATCACTTGCACTGTGTTGACAAAAATAGTATTCTAAAATGGCCATGTGTGCTTAATGCCTTTTATGCAATCTTAGAGGAATAGAAAAGGAGGGTTATGTAACATTATATTGGATCTATTAGCTGTCTTCCAATATTGTAATTATTCCTTTCTTCCAGTTGATCAGGATGATGTTCCCTCCCCATACCCCATTTAAAAGTGATCCCAAATATAAATTGACTGACATTTGAGGACCGTGCATTCCTCAGATAAATAGATATTTCACTCACTTCATTATACAGGTAGTCCCCAGGTTAAGAACGCCAGGGTTACAGACGATCCAGAGTTATGAACGGAGCCTATTGTAGCAAAATTTGAGCTAAATACACACTGATTTGAGTTAAATACACAATGGTTTGAGTTAATTACAGTAACTACTTATACAGTATTATACCATACTACTTATACAGTATTATACCATAATACTCTTCTAGCTTACATACAAATTCGATTTAAGGACAGTCCTTGGGAACGGAACTCATTCTTAAACTGGGGACTATCTGTACTATCTTAGAGTTCTGTGAAATCTAAGAATAGTAGAAATAAAGCTGTACTGTTTGAGCAAGATTACAATCCTGTATATACTTACTTTGGAATTTCTGTTGAACCTCTGAATAGATGTGCATAGCATAGTGCTGCTAATTTTGGTGATCGGATTAATGTGACATTTGTGCACCTAAATACTGTTAATAATACAGCTATGTATTTGTTACCTGGTTAGGGAAAGGCATTGCCTAGCCAGTTTGGATAATTGACAATAGAATGTTGATGTACAGTCAATCCTTTTTCATCATAATTGAAGTAAAAGTGAAGCAGTTCTGAATGGAGTTTATGATTAGCACAAACAGGAATTTAGGTAGTATTTCCTGTCTTATTTCCAGAACGTCTATGTAATGTTTCTTTTTTCAAATGTTCTAGCCATTTCTGATATATCCTTGTAAGTTCCTATCATGTTATCCCACTTAAGTTATAATGAGTACAGAAGAGTAAATTAGAAATGGGGACGTTTCCATAAGAGTCATACAAATAAAACTGTTGGTATTGCTCAGAAATGGTGGATAGAATATCAGACATGAACACTATGGTCCTGGTAGTCTTATTCCTTGTACAGAATTATTGTTTGGATAGAGATTTTCACGATAAACATAGTGGGGAAAAAGTTACATCTTTCTTTGTTAGTACAGTAATAAATCCATATAATGTTCAAATGAGCAAGTTAATTGTCAAAATCCTTGCATCAGCTTTCAACAATTTGGTGAGGGACAACTGAAGATAAGAGTTAGTGTTATTTATTTGTTATATTCTACCTTTTCTCCAGGAGCTCAAGCTGCCTTAATAGGAATCTTCTTTCATTATATCACTAGATTCTAGTGACTAGAACAATCACCCTGTAAGAAAGGTTTGATTGAGAGTCAATCAAACCTTTTCCCAAGCCTAGTCCAGAACCTTAATCCCTATTCAACATTAGTTCTCTAAACTTTTTGTTGTGGTGTTATTCTTGAGTGTTGTTTATATAGTGTTAATTGTATTGATCCTCAGTTACATTTTTAAATGTTTTATTGTTTTTAATGTATAACAAAAAAGAGAGCAATAACCAAAGCCAAAATTAAATGAACAACAACAAAAAAGGAAAATAATATTTTTTGTACAATGGGACTCAAGTATTACATAACAAATTAAACTTGACCAAATGGAATCAAATTGATTAGATTATCCAAGACATCAATAATAAAAAAAAAAGTTCAACTGTAGAAAATGTACAGATGTCTTCAATCCAGGGTTTTAAACTAGATACATTAGAATCCTTCCATTGGGGTAAAACATGCATGGTATGTCCAAAGTACTTCAAACTTTGATAGCTCCAAATTTGGGGGATATAATTTAATCACATTCACATCTTTAAGCCTATTTCTTTTTCCAAAACCCTGGTTACAACCTTATTAATATTAAATCAGAACAGTGTTAACATAGAACTTCCCAAACATAAGTCAATTTCTACATATTACACTTCCAACATATAGTGGTTGAAACCTTCTTATTCACCTTTGGGGGTGTCCAGCAAACACAAAAATATCGTTTGTTGAATTAATTGCAACCTGAGATCATGCTATAGGTATTTAATATTTTTAAGACTAACCCACTGATATCCCAATTCAATGTCCCAAATATCTTGCAGATTTTCTGTATTTATCTTAGTACAATACAACTTTTCAGTTAAAAATAATTGTAGGTTTAGGAACTTCCAAAACGTTTTCCAATAATATTACAAATTTAAAAACTTCAGACACTGCATCAGACCTGAATCATGATGATAAAAGATGTTTGAGTAGACTGTTTGTGTACATACTGTTTCTACTCAGCCAATGAGATCTATCAGAGAGAGCATGCTCTGGCTCCTTTCCATCAAACAGTTACTTCTTGTTGGACCCAGGAGACATGTCTACTCTGTGGCAGCGCCTACCCTGTGGGATAGCATCCCTCCAGAAATTGGGATGGCCCTGACTCTGTTAGTCTTTTATGAGGCTTTGAAGACCTGGTTGTTTCCCCAGATAGTTGGGCCAGGAGGTTAAGCAAGTTCTGCTGGTGATGATGTGGTTTGTATGGTTTGAGGTTTATTATTTTAACTTCAGGCGTCAGGTTATAAGCTGTTGTTGTTTTAATCCTTAAACACCACCAAGAGTTACTGTTATGAGACAGGTGGCCAAATAAATAAATTTATTCAGCAATTTTTGCAGATGCATTGAACTGTTTTATTTTTAGATAAATGATTTTAATGATTGCCTTTTATTTTTTATATATTCTTGTAGAGATTCTTTATACATTCATTTCTGTTATTCATTTGACAGCCTATCATATAAATGTTTAAATAAGATAATTGGACATAGCATTATCAAATAAGCATATACAATATAGTGAAGGAGAAACCAAGATATTATATGCAATCAGATGTGAGGAGAACCTAAATAGACTGCTGAAAGTTTATCATGTATAAGATGAATGAACTGGATAGGACTTGGATCCAACTTACTCTTAAAGACCCATGTTTTTAATGGGGCACTTCTGCAGCTGACTCCACTAATATGGTTTTCAGCAGCTAATTCATGGTAAGTGTAAACAGAAACACTTTGCCTGAGGCTTACAATATTTCATTTCAAGCTGGATGCACATCTAATGCTCTTGTCTAATACAACAAAAATCCATGTAGTTGAATTGTTCAATCATGTCCGATTCTTGGAGACTGCCTGGACAAGTCCCTTTTCAGTTTTTCAGAAGTGGTTTGACATTGCCTCCTTTCTAGGGCTGAGAGAAAGTGACTGGCCCAAGGTTACCAGCTGGCTAGTGATTGGCTAAAGTGCCTCTGAAAATGACTGCTGGGTGGTATCATGCACACTCAGATCAACTATATTTGTCCACATATTCAAAGTATTTGAATTTCTCCTCTGAATACTTGTGATAAAATATGTTAGGAAGGTACTGATTAGAAGAGGATGTTACTGTACCAGAAGTGGGTGTCATGCCAGTATTGTAATCTTCACTGATTCCCTGTTGTTATAGGATCTAGTTCAAAAAGCTGCTCTGCAATAATGTAGTCTTTTCAAAAGTAGATCACAATAGGTCTAGCCTATTGATCTCAAAAAGCCAACTCTCAGAACAGTTTACTATAGCAGTTGAATGGGAAACCACTGGGAAATCCCATAGCTATAGGCTAGGCTGGGATGTTTTTGTCTGTTTCTTTATCATTATCTGCCTGTTCTTCCTTTGGGAGATGTCTTAAATTCAGGATTGTCTTCATTTCAGGTAAATATAGTACTTTTTAATGCCCTTGCATTTCTGCTGCTATATTATATTGCTAAACAATTCTCTTGCCATGGACTTTTGTAAAGGTACTTGTGAAACTTGTTATAATTTAATTGCTTATAACTGATGTTTAATTTAGCTTTATTTATTTTATTTTATATTTTATGGCTTCTATTTTTTAATTTCCTGTTGCCTTAACATACACTTGTAGAAATAATGTGTTAGTGTTTTGAGATAATTAGGAGCAGGGACTTTGCTGAGTTACATTTATTGCCATTATTATTTATTGCATTACATTATAAATTGATAGATGCTATTTGTAATTTTATGTTTTCCAATTTTATAGTTTTATTTTAAGGAACATCCACAATGAGTGACAAAAAAGAATCCAGTGAATCTACAGATACAGGAGATACCACAGAAGGTGGTGATTATGAGGATGATTTTGAGAAAGACCTTGAGTGGCTAATTAATGAAGAAGAAAAAGAAATCTCTGATGATATACAGGTATTAAGAGAATAAAACATAATCTTGTACCAGTATAAAACAAATATATGTAATATACAGTAGATTGATTAGAAAAACTGCTAAACGTAGGATGAAATTCAAGTTTTTTATGATTAAATGCCAAGTGGCAGTAAGCTGTTCTGTGGCTTGATTCGCCCATCATATTCAGTCGTAAAGTGTTTTGCTTACTTTTGGTGTATTGTATGAATCTAACCACTCTAATTTATAAACTGGCTTACAACTTAGTTCAGTGGTGCACAATCTGAAGCCCCAGGATTGCATGAAGTCCCTTAAAGCGTTTGTGTGTCCACCAAAAATTGTTGCTAGATTATATAATTTTTTAATGTGACAAAGGGAGAATCATTAAATGTATAACTAGAGAAAATTCTGTTAACTATATTTGATTTCAATTAAATATAAATGAAATAAAATCAATTTTAGTTTTTGTCCTATATTTTGGAGTGCGGTGCACAGACTATCATTCAAAACCTTAGTGTAGTACTCAGTCAAAAAATTATGTATTCCCAGCTTAGCATAGTGTAAGAATACAATAAATTGTTATCCAATAAATCATGGTTAAACAAATCATGCCTTAAATAGTACGTGAACCAAGCCTGTGTATATTGCCTCCTACATTTTATATAAATAGGTATTACATTTTTTTCATAGAATCATGATGACAATGAAGAGGATTTTGAAACTAACACTGACAAAGACTTAGAGGATAGAATAAATCCTTCACAAGATTCTCTTGAACCTGAAGAAATACTGAAGGATGAGGAACGAAATTCTTCACAAGAGCCTCCTGAGCCTGAGGAAGCTCTAAATGATGCACCACAAAATGAAATACATTCTCTACTTGAATTTGATCCTAAGGTGTTGGAACCGGCATCTGATACAGATAGTGAAAGCTCCGGTCAGGAATCAAGGCTAGAAGACAAGGAGGAAGATGATGAAGATATAAAGCGTTATATCTTAGAAAAAATTGAAGAAGCCAACAGGCTTCTGTTGTGTCAGGAGCCTTTGGATGAAACAAAAGAAAGAAAACTAAAATTCAAGGATAATCTAGTAGAACTAGAAGTACCATCTCTGCAAAATACAGAAGCAGATAAAAATGATCCTTACAGAGAACAAAACATTGCAGGTAGGCTGTCTCAGTTGCGCATTTCTAATGAAACAGGACAGGAAGATATATCTCTTTCTATTAACGGTGGTACAGATGATGAGCACAAGGATGGCAAGATCCTAGTAGAAAGAGATGGGAAGTTTGAACTCTTGAGTATCCGTGACATTGAAAGTCAAGGCTTCTTTCCCCCACTAAGTGTTTCTTTCACTGACATTGAAACTCAACATATTTCTCCTAAGACTTCATACGCTAGTGCTTTTGGCGCAATCAGTATAACAAAAGAGGAGTCCTTCCTGCAAACCCCTGTAACATCTTGTTCTCCTTCCAGAGAACGATTTATTTTTATCCCTCAACCGCCACCTATTCGACCAAGCTCCGCCATCAATATTACAGGGAATATAGAAAAGGGAAAAAGCCCACGCAGGGTCCAGTCAGCAAAAGTGAGCATTGGTATAAGAAGTTCTACATACTGCTTATCACCCAGGCAAAAAGAGCTCCAAAAACAAGTAGAGCAAAGAAGAGAGAAAACAAGAAAAGAGGTGAGAATGTTAATGATGTGATTATTTCTGAAAAATCTACGACCATGATATGAAGGCAGAGAACATCCTTCATATCTATTCATTCTGCAAATAATATTCAGAGTATAGGTTTTGTATATGGGGATTCTGTTTAGCTGTATGCTCTTTTAAGCAGTCATTTTTGTTTGAAATATCCTTTTTAAAAACCTCTTACCTCTTACAGGAGTGACTTGATAATAAACTTTAAAATAAATCCTACTGGTCCATATCTTAAACTTAGTATGTCTGTTTCATCTTTTAAAACATTGCTAATACAATTCCCTTTTTAGAGCTGTGTCCAGAGGTCACCTGCCCTTGTTGGCTTTGTTCACGTTATGCAATGATGATTTACTTAGTTTACCTCAATTACCTTGATTTGCACAATACACTGAACCATAAATTAACAACATGAACTGGATTTATGCAACCATGTATGCTATGATTTGGTTGTTTGATTCAAGTATTGTATGAACACAATCTTTGATCTGTGTTTATTTTATTTATTTATGCTGCCCATCTCCCCCCCAAATGCAGTGTTGTAGTTACAAAAGCAGAAATAGTTTGGGGGAGGAGGGAAGTTCTTTGTAATGAAACACCAAGTAACATGAGGCTTCACTGCAATTGTCACTACTTTTGAGATTCTACTGTTGTTTCCCATCATGACACTATGTCTGGACAAAAAATTGGATCACATCTAATCAGCATCCCTTTGTCTCCTGATCCTGTGGAGAATCTTAGAATGAGAAAGCATGTGATTTTTGGCAATTCCTACTCCTTACAACCTTTGTTGCCTCTCTTCCTTTATTTTCAGTGTCCCTCAACCTTTCAGAGAACATTGGGATGGGGGATATCTTGTGGAAGAACAGCTGGAAATCACATCCTTTTTGCCTAGGCTGGATCAAAATCAAAATATGAAACTCTGTGATTGAAAGCAACTATTTGACCAACTTCTTTTACAGCTTCCATTATGATGGTTTATAATCTTTTGAATTTTGAATGGGATTTTTCAAAAATTGTCATTATTTGTTAATGTTTTAATGCAAGGAAGAAATACAGAAAAGGATGCTGGAGGACTACAAAAAGAGAGAGAATGACCGAGTCTTCCAGGCTTGGCTGCAAAAGAAAAAAGAACAAATGCAGCAGGAGAAAAGAGTCCAGCGTGCAAAAGAAATGGAGAACTTAAACAGCAGAGTAAGATGACGTTTCCATTGTTCTTCTGTGGTTGGTTCAGTTTTAAAAGTTTAAACTTAAGTTTTCTTGATGAGGATGGATAGAATTCAGCCTTTTATTTCCAGATGCAAGTATTTGTATGTTAAGGACAAATCTAGGATCACTTACAGATAATATAACGAACAGCTATTTAGAAGCCAAATTGGCATGCTGTTAAACGTCACTGAAGTTCCTTTTGTTGCAATGTATTGTTTGTGTGCATATCTCCCCACTTCCCCCCAAATTTATCCTAAGCAACAGCTGCAAAATTTCATTGTCTAGATGCATATTCCTTGGCTTATCTGCCAGAAAATGCCTAGAGTTTGCCACTTCATTATAAAAGAATGGAATGTTAGATTTTATAGATGAATAAATAAAATGCTTCATGCTAATGTTTTGAAAATAACATTGGGTTATATAAACTGGGTTATATAAAGTACTTAAAAATTTGTGAACTCTTCTGAATTTTCAATATTTCTACATAAATATGACCTAAAATGTGATTTGTTCTTCATACAAGTCCTAAAAATAGATAAACAGAACCCAATTAAACAAATTAGTCAAAAACATTATACTTGTTCATTGATTTGTTGAGGAAAATTATCAAAAGCTATACATTTGTGTGTGGCAAAACTATGTGAATCCCTAGGATTTTCAGTTCATTTGAAGGGGAAGTTAGAGTCAGGTGTTTCAATCAATGGGATGATAATCAGGTGTAAGTGTGGGAGGTCACACCTTATTTAAAGAACAAAATGCTGGGTATTCACTATCAAAGTCTGATCTTCATAACATATGTATGTGGGAGTGTGTCAGGGCTTGAACAAAGGAGATTTCTGAGGACTTCCGAAAAGCAGTTGTTGATGCTCACCAGGCTGGAAAAGGTTACAAAACTATTTCCAGAATTTGGACTCCACCACACTCAGGTCAGAAATGGTTGACCAATCAAGATCACACCAAGAGCAAGGCATGTAATAATCCAGGTCTCAAAGAAGCCCAGGGTAATGGCTAAGAAACTAAAGACCTTACTTGCATTGGCAAATATCATTGTACATGAGACCACCATCAGGAGAACAATGGTTTACATGGCAGGATTGCAAGAAGAAAGCCAGTACAGGTAGTCCTTGCTTAATGTCAATTGGGACTGGAATTTAGGTTGTTAAGTGGCTCCCCATTGATTTTGCTTGCCAGAAGCTGGCTGGGAAGATTGCAAATTGTGATCATGTGATCCCAGGATGCTGCAACTGTCGTAAGTGCGAGTTGGTTGCCAAGTGCCTGGATTGTGATCACGTGACCGTGGGGGCATTGCAACGGTCGTAATTTCGGTCACCAGTCATAAATCACTTCTTTAGTGCTGTTGTAACTTTGAACAGTTGCTAAACAAATGGTCATTAAATGAGGACTACCTGTGCTCTCCAAAAAGAACATTGCTACCCCTCTACAGTTTGCGAAAGACCATGTTAGGCCTTATCCCATCTGTGAAACATGGTGGTGACTGTATCATGGTTTGGGTCTGTTTTGCTGCCTTTGGACCAGGATGGCTTGCCAACATTGATGGAACTATAAATTCTGAATTGTACCAGCAAATTCTACAGGAAAATGTCAGGGTACTGTCTGTGAACAGAAGCTCAAGATAAAGTGGGTAATGCAGCAAGATAATGACCCCAAATACACAAGTTGTACAACCAAAGAATGGTTAATGCAGAAGGAAGTTAATGTTTTGGAATGGCCAAATCAAAGTCCTGACCTTAATCCTATAGAAATATTGTGGAAGGACCTGAAGGGGGCAGTTAGCATGAAGAAGCCCATCAACATCCAAGCTGAAGCTGTTCTGTAAAAAGGAATGGGCGAAAACTCCTTCAAGCCGATGTGCAGGATTGACTGACAGATATCGGAAACGTTTAGTCGCAGTTATTGCTGCCCAAGGGGGCACACCAGTTACTAAAAGTAAACGTTCACATACTTTTGCCACACAAATATGTAGCTTTGGATCATTTTCCTCAATAAATCAATGAATAAGTATAATGTTCTTGACTCATTTGTTTAATTGGTTTCTCTTTATCTAGTTTTAGAACTTGAATGGATCTAGAATCCATGATCTAGAACAGATCATGTTTTAGGTCAAATTTATGTAGAAATATTGAAAATTCAAAAAAGGTCCACAGACATTTAAGCACCACTGTAGGTGCATCAATTACTTAATCAAAACAATTTAAAAAATAATACTGCTAATTACAAGAATTAAGTTAAGATGCCTCTGAACACATGCAGATGGCTTGTTTTCTACCCAATGTATTACTTGTACTGAATATGGAATAACAACTGAGATGGGATTGTTAGTCTGAATTATTTTCAGGTTGTGCTTATGACCTAATCTCTTCCCTTTCCCACTTTTCTGATATAAGAATCAGTATATATTTTCCTAATTTTGAAAACAAATAATTTTAAAAAAATTTTTAAATAGGAGAGTAGAAATCCAGAAGAAGCTTTCAAATCGTGGCTTAAAAGAAAGCAGCAGGAACAGATTAAAGAAAAACAGATACAAACCCTGAAAGAGCAAGAAGAAGGCATGTTCTTCCTTCCAAGAACCACTGAAAACGACAAAGCTTATAAACAGTAAGTAGTTTTGCTTTTCATTTTAGGAACCAATGCAATATCATTAGTTTAACAAAATTTGGATTTTTTTTCCTCCAGGAAACAGATGAATTTTGGTCCCCATCGTATTCTCTCTTCAGGATGTGTTCTCCTGAAACTGTGTATTTTTCTTACTACATTTTGGGTCAAGCAAGAGAAAAACACATCCACACTACATGAAATAATACTATAGCATGAAAAGTTAGATCAGTTTTAGAAACTATATTTTTCTTTAACACACTATCATGTATTATGTGTATGTTAGTATTATGTGACTAAAGATTAGTCATCTCTTCCTTTTCTCTTATATTACATTAAAATATTAAATGTTCAAATGTGTTGTTTCTACAACTGATCTGCTTTAAAGTGAAGGTGGTGATTAAATGAGGGATTTGATTCAACACCAAATAACCTTACACCCTGGCCAGTAACAATATTGAAACCTGGTTATTGCTTGATGAAAAGAGTTTCAGATGCTTTACTTCAGCAGTTTAATCTTTTACCAAAACTCTTATGCTTACTATATTTCTATGTAAGATAGAGCATGATAATATATATCATAATATTAATGAGCAACAAGTTCACTCACATCAAAAGATTCAAAATACTTACTGGTTTCAACATTACAAACTACAGGTCCTCAACTTATGACCATTTAGTCATAACTTTGAATTATGACAGTGCTGAAAAAATGGATTTCTGGTCCCTGAAATTAAGCCATTGCAGCGCCTCCATGGTCATATGATCAAAATTCAGGCGCTTGGCAGCTAACCTGCACTTAAACTGCAAGGGCGCTTCAGCTCCCCCGGCCCTCCTATCTTCCCCATCTTTGCCCTCTTGGGTGCCCTACACTCTGTCACATACCCTTGCTTCTCCACACCACTGCTGCCCCCCCCGACCTTCACTGTTTTCCTCCTGCTGCTGGACTGGGATCCAGGCACTGGGTGAGGTGCTCTTGCAAAGCCTTGCCCCCGGAAGCGTGCTTCCAGGGACAAGGTTTTGCAGGAGGTGCTTCCAGGTGAAGCTTTGCAGGAGGCCTTTTTGCTGCACACTCTGCAGCTTACGTTGGAAGTTGCTGGCCATTTGTGAGGCTTTGCAGGAGGAATTTCCAAGGGCCAGGCTTTCCAGGGAGGGGCATCCCAGGGCTGCACCCTCACCCAGTGCCTGGATCCTGGGCCAGCAGCAGGAGGAAGAAGATGGTGAAGGTCGGTTGGGGTAGCGGAGCACAGGGCGGCAGGGGCCTTGGAGTACGGGGAGGTGAGGGCAGCTGGAACTGGGGCAGCTGGGGCTTTCCAGGGTGTGGTGGCTTTGCAGAAGTCCCTTTGCGGCATGTGGCGGGGCTGGGGCTGGTCTTTGCTCTGTGACTCTGCAGCTTTTTGCAGCCCCAGAATCGCTGTGCACCAGGAAGCCCCTAAGCCACAACATATTCTTTCCCTGGGCTTCCTGAGCTTGCACTACACCGCAGCACCCCCCTCCCCGACTAGGGTGTGGCTGTGCTGGTCCTCCCAGGCCTCCCCCATGGCACCCCATTCTCCTTACCTGGGATTCCACCTCTTCCTGCTTAACATCTTGGAGTTACGATGGCAACAGGGATTGCTGGGATTCCCATTGCTAAGCAATGCAATCACGTGACATCTCACTTTACAATCACATCACTTAGCGATGGAAATTCCAGTCCCAATTGTGGTCATAAATTGAGGATTACTTGTATAATCCCAATCACAGGCGATTGTCTAATAAACCTTTTAATGATGCATTCTGTTCCAGAATGTATCATTTTGTTAAGGATAAATTATCTGTTTCTACTACCCAAACAAACAGCAAAAAGTGATGTCAGTTAATAAGTTTTAAACACTATTTCGTTTCTCTCTAGATGGCTAAGGAGGAAGAGACGTGAGAAGCGAGAAGAGCAACTAGTTGCTAGAGAACGATCAAAACAGTTTAGGCAGGAAGCCAGAAGAGCAAAACAAATAGAAAATATTCTGTGTTCAATTTCTGAACCAAAGTCCCTTCGCTTTACAGATCAGTACAGCTGAGATTTAGAGACACTGGGTGCCTGTCTTCCAGAATATCTTGTATAGCTTGAGATTGCCTGTTGGAGGTAGTTTCTCTTCTGGAATGTTTAGTAGTCCTTCAATAATGGCTTAATTTTCTCTGTCTTAGTAATTTTTCCCTATCTTAAACTTGGAATAATTATCTATTTGTGAATAGATTGGGATGGCCTTCTCAGTTCTATAAAACATATGGAAAACAATAAATACTCCTCCTGTAACCAGAGTGTATTTTTTAAAAAATAGTTTATCTTCAGAGTTATCATTTTCATACCCAGCATTTGATTAAAAACTCTACAACAGTCACAGCTGATGCCAAAACAATAGAGCACTTTATTTATGTATGTACCAATGTTTACTGTTCACTCAGGCAGCTAAGCTATTTTAAAGTTTTATTTAATGAAACTTCTATTTTTCTGTTTTATGGGGAAGAATGGGCTTATCACACATTCAGCAGTAGTTACCAATGACATTCAAATAGCCTCCATTTTTCAGAAGCACTTTCTACTTATTTTGAAGCAGAAATCACAATATTTGCACTGCTTTGAAATTTATCAGCATATCCACATTGTAAAATAAAAGTGTTAGAAAATAAATCTGTTGTTTCAACTTCTTCCCCAATATAAATTTGGGGAAGAAGTTGAAATGGGACATTGCTATCATATAGCATATATTTTTTATGCTGTTCTCTCTCTCATTCAGATATATGTAAGATAGCACCTATTTTTATATTGTTTCCTTTCACTCACTCTCTCTCACATACACCAACATATATAGTTATAGATATACAGTGGTACCTCTAGTTACGAACTTAATCCGTTCCGTGACTCT